TCTTCTTTACAGGCTAACATGTGTCTAGCATGAATAAGTCAACCTAGGAACAAAACCCATCTTCCATATGCTCCCAACAGCATGGACATTGTGCTACTCCTGCACCAGCACAGCTGGACCCAGATGTTGTTCTCCTTATGCTTTTATAGCTTTCTACTTACCTTCTGTGTGCTTAGCTCTGTCTTGGTGGAATATCTATATTTTTTAAGTGCAAGGGGACTTTGTTCCCCAATGTAGAACCATTTGAGGAACATAACATACAGAAAACAAGAGTACATAATAAGTACACTCACTTCTTCCTTGAAGTTAAAAAAAAAAAAACAAACATGAAAATGTATCCAGGGCTTGGAAAAAAATTAAGATGTTTTAAGATCAAATTGTGTGGAAACTGTCCTATATAGGAAGTCAGAATTTTCCAGAAGGATTTACTGTGATTTGTTTTATTGGTCTATTTCTCCCTGCATCATTAACCATGATCAGAGATTTTTTTTAACCTTTATTTTTCCAACATAATATTTTTAAAGAAAAAAACTCTCAGATACACAGTCTATTAAACATATCTAAGTGGAGCAACTCTGGTTGAAGGGAGCAGAGAGCTTAGAATACCTCTCAAGAGCTACCCTCTTACTGCCCCTTCCTTGAGGCAAAAGGTAACCAACACTTCCTAAGAACACTTACTATTACTTAATGTTAACTTTAATATTGGTTTCTTTTCAGTCATTAGAAGCAGAGCTGAAGAAACTTCAAAACTCTATTCAAGAAAGCACACATAACTTTGATGAACTTCTGAAAAGACTCTTTGAAAGAAGAGTGAAGGCAGAGATGGTTGTTAACCAGGTAAATAAAAGCTTCACTTATGTGTCTTTTTCTTTTAAGGACCTCCAAGGGCCTCCCATTGCTCTTAGGTGCCCAAGTCTGGCATGTTCTGGGCCTCGGATCCCTCCCCAGCCAAATCATGTGCCACTCTCCCCTTCACACAGCATACTTCCTCTCTGGTGCCTTGAACCCACCCAGTGGCCTCCTTCCTCATGACTCTGCCAGTAATACTCTCTACCAATTTCATTGCCTCCTGGACTTACCCATTCATCCTTCAGGTCCCAGCATAAAAATAAGTTCCTCAGACTAGGTTATATCTTCCTACTATATATTCTATTATTTTTCTTTCTACCACTTATGATTTTTATAGCAGCTGAATTTTAATTTGTGTGAAATTACTTTTTAGTGTTTTCAAAACTACAAACTCCATAAGAGTAAGAACTAAGTCTGTCTTGGTCATCCCCATATTGCTAGCAAGTAGCCATGGTTGAATTAATGAATAATGCTGTATTAGTGAATATCAAATTAATAAACAAACCTTATCCCCAAAAAGATTAAATGAAAAAATCTGACTTCATTACATTTATTAATAGCAGTAGGAATATAAATGAAGTAACAGTAACTATAAGATGATCAAGGAGTAATGCCTTTAAATTATGAGGAAAAATTATTTCTGACTTTGGATTCTATACTCAACCAAACTATCAATTGAGTTTAGAAGAAACTAATGTATTTTCAGAAATGCAAAGTCTCCAAAATTTACATGTAACATCAGAGTGTTATTAGAAGATATGTTGCACTAGAGCAAGGGAGTCAACCAGAAGAGATGATACTACATTGGGAGCTACGAAGAGAATCTCTAGGATAGCTATATCCTCAGGGCCCCAAGTGGAATAATACAGGAAAAGAATTACATTTGACAGAATTTAATGAAGGAGCTTTTCTCAGAGGTATGGGCAGAGTTAAGGGAAACAGCAAGGAATGGTAAAACATCTTGAGACCAGAAACAATAAGAGGCCAGTACCATCTCTAGAGCTAAAGAGGGAAAGGAAGAGAGCTGTTACTAGAACCCAGCAAGACCTGGAGCTCGAGGGACAGAGCTACTCCAGAGGACTGTGGCCACAGACAGAAGAACATAATCACTGGCCTGACAAGGAGGGGATTGTGTAGACAGATATAGATAGATAGATAGATAGATAGATAGATAGATAGATAGATAGATAGATAGATAGATGATAGATTGATAGATAGATAGATACAGATATACACATAGTGGTAGTGAGGGGGAAATTTGGAAATGAATGCTCAGCATCAGTCTAAATAGCAGCATTAGTCATAATAGCCAAAAGGTGTAAATAATCCAAATGTCCAATACCTATGAATAAATGAGTAAAGTATGGTTTATCGATATAATAGGTATTCAATATTCAACAAGAAAAAATAAATGAAGTACTAATACATATACAATGTGAATAAACACACTAAGTGAAGGAAGCCAGATAACAAAGAACACATACTGTATGACTTCATTTATATGAAACGTCAGAATTTTATTATATGAAATGTTTCTCAGAATAGGCAAATCTTTAAGAACAGAAAGTAGATAAGTGGTTGCTGTAGAGGAGAGATTAAGCCTGTGGAAGATGGGGAGAATGGGAAATGACTGCTAAAGGATTTCTTTTCAGAGTGATAAAATGTTCTAAAATTGATTGTGATGATAGTTCTACAATTCTGTAAATATACTTAAAACCATTGAGTTATATATTATAAATTGTGAATTGTATAGTATGTGAATTATATCTCAATAAAGATGTTATTTTTAAAAAGGTATGCTTAGACCATCTTGTCATACAAAATGATGAAGAAACTATCAGACTGCTAGGTAATATCAAAAGGACTCAGGAGCCAACTTAAAATGTCTTCTCTAAATGAGACAATTTAAGATTCAAAGATGAAGACCAGTGTGAAGAAGAGGCCAGAGCAACCCCCAGACGGACCAAAGCCTTCACGCCGCTGCATCCCCCGCGTCCAGCACCTAGGTCCGCCGTCGTCGCCACCATGCCCAAGAGAAAGGCTGAAGGGGATGCTAAAGGAGATAAAGCCAAGATGAAGGACGAACCACAGAGAAGATCTGCGAGGTTGTCTGCAAAACCTGCTCCTCCAAAGCCAGAGCCCAAGTCTAAAAAGGCCCCTTCAAAGAAGGGAGAGAAGATACCCAAAGGAAAAAAGGGAAAAGCTGATGCTGGCAAGGATGGGAACAACCCTGCAGAAAATGGAGATGCCAGAACAGCCCAGGCACAGAAAGCTGAAGGTGCTGGAGATGCCGAGTGAAGTGTGTGCGTTTTTGATAACTGTGTGTTTCTGGTGACTGCACAGTTTGAAATACTATTTTTTATCAAGTTTTATAAAAATGCAGAATTTTGTTTTACCTTTTTTTTTTTTAAGCTATGTTGTTAGCACACAGAACACTTCACTGTTGTTCTTTGGGGGAAGGAGCGTTTGTCACTAATTGAATGTCTCTGAAGCTGGATTGATTTGGACAACATCTTTCCCTTCTAGTTTTAAGAGACTTCCTCTTGGCTCCTAAGAGGAACCCTCTCACAATCACTCCATCTCTGCTATAGACAGTCATCCTCCAGAGGTGTCATTGAAAATGCAATACCTGCGAGTAGAGGGAGAGGGGCCAGGAGTCCAAAGTTTTTAACAATAGGGAAAATAGATTCCATTCAAGGTTGGATCAAGTGTGGGTCTCGTGCAGTTCCGCAACTGTAGGTGAGTCTCCATGGAATACAGTCTCCGGAAGGCAGTTCTGGCAAGCAGAGTTGACCATCAGTTGATGCGGCACAGCAGCCATCTTGTGGTTAGCAGGACGGGAGACCCGCGGCCGGTCCGTGTGTGGGCCGGCGCGGCCTGCTCCGCCCGCCCGGCGCGGCGCTCGCTCAGCGCGCCCACTTCATTGGGTTTTATAGTGGCTTTCTGATTTTGGTAGTCCATTGAAGAAGGGAGTTTGGAAGTTGTTGTATACTGTTAACGATCGTCTGCCCATGTCCTGAAATACCATGATTGTTTATGAAAAGTATCTTTAATAAAGCTGGATAAAATTTGGCTTGGGGAAAAAAAATTCAAAGATGATAAAAATTACAGTTAAATGGAACCCATCTACTTTGCTTAAATTCATAAATTTTTGATATCTTAAAAAGAAAAATGCCACTTGGTTACCTTCCAAGAATGAAAAAACCAACTCTTTATCTAGAAACTGATAAAGAGAAAATATCCAGGATTTATTCTACCTTTCCTATATGAACTATACCATGGGATAATCATATAATAGATAAGGAGAAGCACCTCTTTATAAAAATATTTCAAGTAATAAATTTTAAAAGGAAAATAAAACTAGGTTATTATCGTTTTGCAGTTCTCAATGAATTAATGGGCCAGGGCATTGAGCATCTACACAGAATATCACGTGTCTCATGATCAAAGAACAATATGTCCTATGATCTTGATGAAAGGGTCAAGCCTAGCTCTGACCAGGTCTCTGGATCAACTGCCAACTTTCAAGAAATACAAAAGATAAAAGAGTCTGATAAACTACACCATAAGTATGCAGTCAGTTAGACCCAGTCTAGGCAAAATTAGAGACTACTGACAACATATTATAAATTGTGAGGGAAACTAATGGGTAGAAGGGAACGTGAAGATTATAAGAGATATAAAAGGCATGACAAAAAATTTTAACGAACAAATTGTATTGTAGTGCCTATATATACACACCTGGGTATGAAATTACCAAGAAACACAAGAAATTTATTACTATAAAAGTTGAGACACTGGGGCTGGTTCCATGGCCTTAAGGATAGGACAGCTAGTCCCACATGGTTTAAGTCCCAGACTCAGCAGCTTGAGAAACACACCAGCTGTGTGTACATGCATGCCCCAGATCCCCAAAAGAGGGAGTAATGGAGAAGGGATTGTGCTGTGATCCTACCCCACGGGGAGTGCTTGCTCCCTCTCCCTGTCTCTCTGTCACTCTCTGGCAAACACAAGTGCCCACTCACAAAACTTAAAAAATAAAATAAGTTAGGACAGTGTTTAGGACTGGGATGGGAAGGAGCTTCAGCAAAGATCGTTTCTTGAATTCAGCGTTGATAACAAGGGCATTTCGAGAAGACAAGGTTCCACATGGCTACAGTGAACTAGATTTTTAAGGGAATGAAGATTTTCTACTAATAATTCAGCCTCCAACAAACGAGCTAGCGGTAGGGAGCCCCCCTCTGCACCCCCAGCCTTCTCTCTCTGTCTCTCAGTTCCTGTCTCTCCCTGCTTCTGTCTTCCCTTTTTTTTATTTTTTTGGTAATATTTCCTTTTTACCCTTTTTAAAAAAAAAAAAACAAAAAAAAAACAAGGCCCAGTTTTTCTCTGGTTGTCTCTCCCTCCTTCTGTCTTCCCTTTTTTTTTTTTTTTTTGTTAATATTTCCTTTTCCCCCTTTTTTTTTTTCAAAAAAATCAAGGCCCAGTTTTTCTCTGGCTCTTAGCTCCACCTTCTTTCTTGTTAATTTTCGCTCTGCTCCTCCCATCCAGGAAGAAGAAGCCACGGGCCTTCAGGACAAGGTTCCACATGGCTACAGTGAACTAGATTTTTGCGCGCCGCACGGTTTTCTATTTTGTGATTTTTTTTAAAAAAAAAGAACCGTAATTACAAATTTTTAATTTTTTAAATTTTTTTGTCTTTTTTTCTCTTTTTGTTGTTTTTCTCTGTCTCGTTTTCCTTTTTCTTGTCTCTTCACCCTCCAGTATCCTTTCAAGATGAAGTCTATAATACAAGAAGTCAAAATCTCCCTGGAAAGCATTAAAAGCAGACTAGATCATTCAGAAAATAGAATCTCAGATGTAGAGGAGAAAATGGCTGGCCTAGAAAAATCCACCATGAAGGCTGAGAAAATGGCACAAAAATTTGAGAATAATATGCGAGAAGTACTGGATACCATCAAACGTCCAAATATCCGGATAATTGGCATTCCAGAAGGTGAGGAAACCCATAAGGGCATTGATAATCTATTCCAGGAAATCCTGCAAGAAAACTTTCCAAACCTAGAGAGGCATTCAAAGATCCAGTCCCAGGAAATACAACGGACCCCAAATAGAATCAACCCTAGAAGATCTTCTCCAAGACACATTATAGCCAGGTTGACCAAAACTGCAGACAAAGACAAGATACTAAGATTAGCAAGAGAAAAACATCAAGTTACCTACAAAGGACATCCCATCAGGCTAACAGCAGATCTCTCATCAGAAACAATAAAAGCGAGGAGAGAATGGGAAAATATATTCCAAGTGTTAAGAGAGAAGCAGTTTCAGCCAAGAATACTGTATCCGGCAAGATTATCTTTCAGGTGGGAAGAAAAGACAAGAACATTCTCAGATAAACAAAACCTGAAAGAATTTACCAGCACCAGACCAGACCTCCAAGAAGTTCTCAAGGATGTGCTGTATCAGGAAAACTAAACGCAGATACATGGAAATAAGAGTCCAAAAACTGAGAAAGTAGCTAACTTAATCATAGGGACAAGTCTGGAGTTGAATACTATATCCCAGAATTTAATCAGGAAAATTGAACCAGAACAGAAGATAAAAGTATATGAGACTGATAGGTTCATGCACCTACCATTTGAACAGAATCCTAACCTGTTTCCTGGCTTTAAGCAAAGTTCCTTGGCGGTTCTTTGATTTAAGTTAAAACTGGTTTTCTTAGTAGTAACGAGTGAACTCACCTTTGAAAGTAGTTAGGTTATGTAGGAAATAGTGTGATCAATGCAATGTGGGTGGGAAGGGAATGGAGGACAATTTTGGACACTGGAGGTGGTGTGAGAGGAGGGTGGGAAGGGACAGAGGGTCAGAAAGAGGGGTGGAAATAATTCTAGGAACTAGAATTGGAAATTTATTTTTTCTGTAATGTGCATGAGTCACTATGCAGTGTGTACTGGATGGGAGATTGCATTTTGTGTGCTGGGATGATGCTTCGGGAAGGAATGTAAATTGAGTTACAAAAAAAGTTTCAGGAAAAAAAAATATATCTATTCAATGACTGCAGTAGGATATGTAGCCCCAGTTAGGTGCTACTTTATAGGATGTGTAAAGTTAGACTTGTGCTCATGGAAATGTGTGTGTCACATGTGTTTGCTAGGAGGGTGTTCGGATTGATTCAGGTCTTTGGTGATTCAATAAAATGTGGGGGAAAATGGCATAGAAAGCAAACATAGATAACAGAGAAAGTGTGGGAGGAGAACAGGAGGTGGCAGAGGGTAAGAGATAGGGAACCAAGGATGGGGGGAAAAAGCAAAACATACAGAAAACAAGAAATGGGAGATCATTTGCTAAGAATAACATATTTGTTGATGTGCTTGATTGAGACAATATACAGTGTACTCTAGATGGAAAATCTCATTTCGTATGCTGTAATGAGGTACAGTGAATGAATGCAAATAAATAAATTGGGAAAAAAAAAAACAAGGGCATTTCCTTTTATAATTCATTAAACTATATGTTCTGTTACATACTTTTTTTCTGTACACGTTTTACCTTACAACGAAATGATGAAAAGACAAAATAGCTAAACAGTTACCTCAATGGTCTATATTCCACCTGTCTTTAAAAGATTTCTCCTACTTGTGTGTCATACACTTCTTTGATTAGTTCCAAGTCAATGACCATTGATAGAAAGTCTTTTCTCAGGTAGGAGTATTAATCAGTCCCTTCCATCACTTTTTTTTTTAAATATTTCTACAGGAGGAATTGAAAATAAATAACCTTATTTTTTCTTTACTGTTGGATGAAGAATTAAGCTCCAGAGAAGCATTCCTGAACAACTACCTTACAAGGAAGCAGGAGGAGAAAGTAAGCATAGTGTCTGGTATCTAATTACAAGCATTTGCTGACAGGCGTGCTCCTTGTTTAACAAGAGCTGACACACACGTCTAGACCCTGCCTTCTCTCCCCTGTTCCTGCTCAACTGTGTGAGTCCTTGGCGCCGTCTGAGACCTTGCTCCAGTGCTTGGTGGAAATACTCATTCCAGTCTGTTACTAAAGTCATGTGATCTGCATCTGCAGTCATTTAGTCAAAAGAACCTTGTAGCCTTTATATGATCTGTGGTTTATAAAGTGAAGCCTTGGTTGAAAATATCAGCTTTTAAACACTGGCTATGAAACTTTGGGCAAGGAACATAACCTTTTAAGCTGCTTGCAAACTCTTTTTTAGGTAATGTTGTTCCCTCTGGACTATTTGGCATTCTCAGTTTTACCAAGCATGTAAGCAATGGGTTAGCTTGTAAGATGAAAAACTGTCATATTCTGAAAAACTCTTTCTATAGGATCACGAATAGATATGGTTCATTAAAGATACGACGAACACAAAATGCTTACAATACAATAAGTTTCCATAGACACTCGCTTTTATTAGTAGTATTAATAAAGGACATTCACATATGCATGATTTATGATCTATGACATAGGTACTTACCTTTTTTTTTTTTTTTTTGGAGAGATTTTCGCTATAGGGCACGTGCGCTCGCCAGACAGACAGAGACAGACATAGAGACAGAAAGCAAGAAATCACCCCCCAGGGGGGATGGTCACGCCACAATCCCTTCTCCTCCATTCTCCTCTCGGGATCTTGGGCATGCAGGCACACGCGCCCGGCATGAGTTTTAAGCCACCGGGTCCGGTACGCGAACCACGGTCGACTACGTGGGAGTCCAGTGACATAGCCATTATGCCAACTGCTGGTTCCCGGTACTTACTTTTTCCAAGAGTCTGTCAAACAGCATATGCAAAGCACTCTGTAAATACAACTCTACTCCTAACAACCCTGCAGGGTACTAGATTTCTTCCCCAGATAAGGAGACCATCACAGAGAGGTTGGGTAATGTGCCCAAGACACCCAGAGTGGGAATTAAAACTATGAAAATAAACAAAGACCACCCAAATGAGAATATGCAGAAGTTGGCATATAGCAAGGGAATCAGCCACCATCACTTGCACTTGACACTCAAAGGTGGGCCAGTGAGTGGGAAAGCTCTGTAGTGATAAAGAGGGCTTCAGGTATGCCCTGAACGGAAGTTGTTTGCGTGGGAAAGCTGGAGGCAAACCAGTTAGAATCAGGGCAACCTGTGATTTGTTTCGGGAACAGTTTTGGCTTCTGGTGGATGACCCTAACTTGGAAATGGGGGCAAAACTGAGAGAAGTTGGCAGTTATTGACCAAGCTCTGACAGTTTGGGGCCAATTGCTACAAAGGCTGTGGTTTAGCTTCCTGGCTGGTTGCAGCAGAGGTTGTGAGACTGAGTTCTTTTTCACATGTGATCTATCCATTGTTTGTATTCAGTCTCTCAGAAACCAGGTCTATGTCAATCCCAAGCCTGTACACTTTCACTGTCCACACTGCCCTGTTAAGAATATAGTGTGTTCCAGAGACATTTACACACACATACAGAGTTGTTTATACTTTAGGAACAAGTGACTGGATGTTCTTTCAAAGTCCCCAATTAATTTACTTTCTTCTATAAGTGTTACCTGTAATGACATTTCACTGACATATTTATCTTGTACTAGAAAATTCCTTGTTCTTTTGAATGTCTCCAGTAATTTTGTTTACCCTGAAAATCCTCCAGTTCCAATAGACTATTCCTGATATTATTATTTTTTACTTATTTATTTATTTATTTATTTTGGAGAGGTTTTCGCTATAGGGTGCATGCGCTCGCCAGACAGACAGAGAGAGACATAGAGACAGAAAGTGAGAAATCACCCCCCGGGGGGGATGGTCACGCCGCAATCCCTTCTCCTCCATTCTCCTCTCGGGATCTGGAGCACTCACGCACACGCGCCCGGCGTGAGTTTTAAGTCACCAGGTCCAGGATGCGAACCGTGGTCGACTATGTGGGAGTCCAGCGACAAAGTCATTACGCTAACTGCTAGTTCCCTATTCCTGATATTATTATAGAACCAGACATCAGAAGCCATCCGGAAATCTAGAGAAGATCTCGATATGTACAAGGAGCACTATGACAACTTACTGGCAGAAGACAAAGTGAGAGTCATTATCTTACCCACTCAAAAATACTGCCTGAATTTGGGGGAGGGTAAAGGGGATATAATTTAATTTCCTCATAGATTCTTCCCCTACTGTAATTCTCAGTTAAAGAACTTCATTCTGTACAACTGTATGTATTTGAAAATATACAATATGTAAAATGAATTTTAACGAACATCTCTGGTTTAAGCTTTCTTGTGCACCAAAAATAAGATCATCTAGTCTTTAGGATATTTTATAGATCCCATTAGTTTGTCATGAAATCAATTTAGTATATCCTGCAATTTTATAATAAAATGACTAGGAGAAAACAGCATAAAGACGACGGGATGAGATGGGATAGAATAACTTGCATAGTCTATGGATAAATGTTATTTTGAAAAACTTCTGGATGATTTCTAAGACCTCATATTAAATATTTTTAATATATTGAGGGTCTTCCGAGTTAAAAAAAAATCTTTGAAAGAAATCTTAGCACAGTTAATGGTCACCTCCAACAACTCTATAAAAGTAATTTTTGCTGTTTTAAAAATCAAAGTGATACCATCTATATTTTGAAAACTATTGTCAACAAATAAAAGGTTTCTGAACAAAGTTGTGATCCTGGCAACTTTGTGTTTGTCTTTAGGTTCTGGACCGCAGTTTTAAAAAGGAATTTTCTGAAATACCCAGTCATCAAGTGGATATACTCTACAAACTTTTTAAACGCCGACCAAAGTTTGTTTCTCCTTTGCTGTTAATTTCTGAGAAAGAAGTCTGTAAATGAAGAGGCGTGTTATTAGATCTCAGTTTCTCTTATCAATTAGATGGAAGCATTCAATGTGACATCTTCTAGGTGAAGATGTTTAAGTGTCTTGATCTCAATTCAGTATTATTTATTATGTTTTGTCTTAACATGAGGAATGAAGAGTGATTTCTTTTCATTATTTAAAAATAGTTAAGTATCTGGGTAAGAACAGTGCTAGTATAAGTTCTATTTGTACCTGAAAGCAGGTCCTCTGAAGTCAGAGATGACATGAAAATTTAGAAACAGTTTTTTCTAAGTTGTGTTAAAACAAATGAGTCCCTTGTGGTATGAATTAGAATTACAGTTAATAGACTTCCAGGACTAAGTAAATTTGTGCAAATACCAGGTTAAAAGAAAAAAAAAATTATAAAGCTTTCTTTACTGGAGAACTTAGACCTAGTTATTGCCTTTGGATCTCCAAGTATAAAAAATAGAAAAAGTAATGTTTTTCAAATTTATTTGACAACAATTTGCTTCTCCTTAGTATCTCATGTGATAGTATTAAAAAAAAGTTTGAAAAATGCCAGTATAGATGGTTGAAATAATCACCTACAAAGGAGTCCTAATATCTGCTTTTTTTTTAACTGAGGGTAGAATTAGAAGTATATTTTTCTGATTTCTAACATTATTAATTCAGATTTTTATAATGTTCAATCAAATATCGAAATGATGGGGTTTGTCACAAAAGTGTAGGCTAATTTATGTGTGAGATACAAACTCATTCTCTCCTTTGACAGGCTATATAAAACTTAGAGAACTTAATCTGGAACATAGCTCTTGTCTTGGCTTCCATATTTTTGAAAGAGCGAGTTGTATAAAACACCAGTACATCCTTTTCTTTGTGAAGAAAGAAGTGAGTCCTCCTGGGACCAGCAGTTAGTGTAATGGCTATGTTGCTGGACTCCCATGTAGTCAACCGTGGTTCGTGTCCCGGACCCGGTGGCTTAAAACTCACGCCGGGCACATGTGCGTGCATGCCCAAGATCCCAAGAGGAGAATGGAGGAGAAGGGATTGCAGCATGGCCATCCCCCCTGGGGGGGGGTGATTTCTCACTTTCTGTATCTCTTCTCTGTCTGGCAAGCGCACGTGCCCTATAGCAAAAACCTCTCAAAAAAAAAAAAAAAAAAAAAAGAAGTGAGTCCTCCTACATGTTAGGAGATAGCAGTGAGAAAAGGCCATGCTTTGCTCTCAAAACGGAATTAGCTTTCAGTCTCAATTCCACCATTTAGCAGACCTGTGCCTTGTGCCAACAGCTTCTCTTAGGGTCTGGCTATCCTCATCTAGAGGATGGGAGTGATAATGCTGACCTCTCTGTACCGTAACTCTTCTTGACAGTGAGTATGTCACAAATCTTTGTACCCCTCTTTCCTAGCCACACCGCAGGGAAACAAAAACAATTTAGTAACAGAGACAAAAAGAGGGGCTTTTCCAGTTTCCCCTACATCTAAACATATTACAAATAGTCTCCTGGAAAAAAAAAAGACACCACCAGAGGGCATGCAAGACAGAGTAAGGGAACTCCCACACTTCTCTTGGGCATTTATTTGCCTGCTTAAGGTAGACAGAAGAGAGATGCTTCCTGGCACCACTGAAGTTGTCAATGCCAGGGAAGCCTATGGTCTGGCCACAGTCATGTCTGGGGATCAAGGTGTGTAGAAGAAATAATCCATCTACCAGCCCTCAAGTGCCCAGGTTGAAAGTGCCATATATGTTATGCCTATGCTAAGGGTGTTATTGAACACCGATGTTTTTTGTGAAACTGTGAAATACTGATAGGCTTTTCTTGGTAATACCAGGATTCACAAACATAAAACACACTTGGATACAGGCAACAATAACCCTTTTGGAGAACGACCAGGATCTGCCAAGTTGAATAAGGACAACTTTGCCCAGTTAATGAAAGCCATGGATGAGTTGGACAATGTTAATAATATGCCAGAAGGCGTGGACCCCATGGTCTGGGATCATTTCTGCATAACCAGACGAGCAAAAGTTGAAAATGAACAGAAAGTATATAATATTTTAATTTCATTGTGCTAAATCAAATGTATAGCTTACATTGGCCAGTGCATTCAGTAAAGTTCTTACGTAGATTTTCCTATTAGTGTAGTTGTTGGCAATACTAATAATGAAATAATGAAATAAAATACTAGCCTTGGTACTATTAAGAACTAAGTGTAGGCCTGTACTTATAGGCCCATGCTGTCCAAAACAGTGGCCACTAGCCACATGTGATTATTGCACACTTGAAATAAATGTGACCAGCCCTCACTGAGATGTGCTATAAATGAAAAATACAGATTAAGAAGACTTAGTATTAAAAAAAATAAGAATAAAAAAGTCTCATTATTTTTTATATTGGTTTCAGGTTGAAAGTAGTTTAGATATATTGTATTAAGTAAAATTAAGTTCATCCTTTTTTGTTTTTCTTTTTTAAGAAAGATTTTTGCTTTAGTGTGTGTGCACTCAACAGAGACACAGAGAGATAGGGAGACAGAAAGTGAGAAATCACCCACCACTACCCTCCCCAGGGGGATAGCCACACCACAATCCCTTCTCCTCCATTCTCCACTCAGGATTTTGGGCATGCACACACACATGTCCCAGGTCCGGGACTCGAACCAAGGTCGACCATGTGGGAATCCAGCAACATAACCATTATACTATCTGCTGGTCTCAAGTTCATTTTTTTTTTTAATTTCACATTTCATAATGTGACTACTACAAAATTTTTAATTATATATGTGACTTACATTTATGGTTCACATTGTATTTCTCTTGGACAGCACTATTGTAGATTATCTCATTTTTGCATAGATCAGAATTGCAGGTAGTTCAGCACAATCAACTTTACAATTTTGCTAGAATTGGGGAATAAATGTATCAGAGGGTTAAAAATTTGAGAGTGTGTAGATTTGAAAAAAGTATTCTTTTTGTTGCTTCTTGACCACACCCTGCCTCCCCTCCCTAAAATTCCCTAAACTCAGTGCCATATACATAAGGCTGGCATATTTTTATGAAAGTTGATTTTATAATTTCATATAAGGTGATAAGAAAAAAATTTTAAATATGATATGAAAAATATTCTAGTTGCTTGCATATTTGATTTTCAGCAAGAAGAAAATCTGATACTCTTTTAGTTATTCATGGAATGTACCATGTAAGTTTTATACACCTTATATGACATAATGGCTGGGATTTAAATTTTTATTACTCTCTTAGAAAGATGGGCTTGTTAAGATTTTGTAACAAAAAAAAGTTAAAAGATGTTTTCTAAAGCTGATGCTCCAAGTGTTCTGAGATATGGTTTTTATTTCTTTAGGTGAAGCAGAAAGCAGCTGGCTTAATGGAAATGGTGGCCTTCCTACGGAAGAGAGTAGAGGAAGATGAAAAGCTACAACAGGAAATTGAAAAAGTCTTCCATGAACTCATCCTGTAATTTGAACTTTTCATTCTTGTCCACTTATCTAAAACTAGAGTGAAATTAGGTTGTGTTATCACTGGGGGAAAATGCCTATTTATGACATGTTTATAGTTGGCACAAATTTATCAATCTCAACCCCAGCATTTTGTTTTAAAATCTGTTTTTTAAAATGCACTTCATGGGGGACCAACAGTTAGCATAATGGCTATGTCGCTGGACTCCCATGTAGTCGACCGTGGTTCACATCCCGGACCCAGTGGCTTACAAAACTCATGTTGGTCGCGTGTGCGTGTGTGCCCAAGATCCCAAGAGAAAAATGGAGGAGAAGGGACTGCAGCGTGGCCATCCCCCCTGGGGGGTGATTTCTCGCTTTCTATCTCTCTGTCTCTCTCTGATGTCTGGCGAGCGCACGCGCCCTATAGCAAAAACCTCTCCAAAAAAAAATGCAGTTCGTTACTTATGACCATGTTTTGTGATGGAACATTCCACATGTTTCACTGTTTTTATTAAAAATAAGCAAGATTTTAAAATTTGGTAGTTTTTTAAAATTCTTATCCTTTCATAAAAAAAAATGTAGAATCTGTTTCTGCTAGTAAGTACTTCTGGACACAAGCTATGTTAGTTAAATATATGGAAAATTGAGGTAATGTCCAAGAAATTTCTGTATAGATATCTACAAATAAGTGTCTTTTCTTCACAGGAGCTTGTTACTTTTTTATTGAGTGATTATAATACTCTTAAGTCTTTGCTTCACTTTTTAAAAAAGTCATTTACAGCCACATTGATAAAGCTTGTCTAATGTTTCCAAATTCATCATTATACACAATTTCTAAATCTAGGCTTCAGGGAGGACTTTGGATTATCCAAAAAAAAATTGATAAGTAGCCTACAGATTTAATATTGTTAAAATAGTAAAAATAAATAAGGTCAGAACATTAATTGATTTGTAATATAGTGGCAGCTCTACTTTCACTTTGAGTTAATTTTATTACAATCAAAATTATACAATATGTTCCTAATTCTTAAGTACAACTTTACATATTTCTGTCCATACCATTGTCTGAGCAACTTAAGTGTAATTCCTTGTCAATAGGAAGATATAGTGGAAAGACCTCTAAAAAAACTCATTATTGGGAAAATCTCTACAGTAATCCTCAGCATGTTTTCCTTTTCCTGTTTTACATTTTACATTCTCCAATAGGGGAGAAATTTGAAATACAAATATTGGGTTGTAGGAAAAGTCATGACATATTTTCCATGCAGAAATGCATCATGACTTTTCCAACCACCCAATATATTGGGCCTTCTTGCTGTGATGTCTTTTTCAATTTAGATTACAAGAAGAGAAAGTGAAATTCCAGTTGGATTTGACAATCCAAATTCTTCTTAAACAAGGACAAGTAGAACTGGAGAATTTCCAATTAGTACTGGAGTATGCTGATGCAATTCTCATCAATAAGAACATAATCGAAGACTTGAATTCCGTGATTCGGGTAATTATACATTTTTAAAGAGAAAAGACAATATATTTAAACATTTTAAAATATTTCTTGCATTTTCAAAAAGTAGATAGAATCATGCCTGTGATCATAGTGCTTTCTAAGAATAGCTTTGAATATCCTACTTCTGGATGCAGAAACACAATATGTATCAATTTTTTTTTTATTAAGACTCAAGGACAAAAGAAAGTTGCTAGCATGATGGAAAGTAAAGACGTACACAAAGGAATATTTCAAATCGAGTGGGAACATAAGAAAATGGAGATGGAAATGGAAGATCTAAATCAGAAGGCCTGGGATATTCAGATGCTGTTTTTTTCAAGAGATCGTCAAAAGGTAAGTTCTCCATGTTCCCTCTACATAGTTTTAATATAATCCATTAAACATTCATTGATCTAACCAGTATTTAATAAGCCTCTGAGATGTCAAGTATACCCTAAACCAGAAGTATTTCCTAGTTTGTCTATGAATCCTTTTTTTTTTCCAGTAACTTACATTTGCTGCCTACACTTCATGACCCATTCAGTACAGTTTTATCTTATAGTTCACTGAAGATTTTCTAACTGTCAAATCCACTGTTCCTTTTCCCAGCCATTACCATCCTTTGGTTCTCTGCAGCATTTGACCAGCTTATTACCTATTCCTTTTTCTTTTACTGCCCCTACTTTCTCATATTTCTCTGCCAACATGGCAGACTGCTCTGTGTCTTTTACTGAATTTCCTTTTGCTTCTAAGTCTTAAATAGAGTCTGTCTTTTTTTTTATTTAAGAGGTTTTTGCCTTAGGGCACATGAGCTCATCAGAGAGAGAGAGAGACAAAGACAGTGAGAGGGAAAGTGAGAAATCACCCCCAAGCGGGGACGGCCATGCCGCAGACCCTTCTCCTCCATTCTCCTTCCGGGACTTTCGGCACACATGCACACGTGCCCAGTGTGATTTGCAAGCCACCAGGTCCAGGACTTGAAACACAGTCAGCCCTATGGGAGCCCAGTGACATAACCGCTACACCATCTACTGGCCCTTCTTTAGGACTCTGTTCTGCTTGTATTTCTTCCCATGTTCTTTCCCTTGATGATCTCTCTTTTTCTGATTTCAATGACTGCTTCTAAAAGACTAATCCAAGCTCTCTGGATTCTAATCCAGTTCCACTCTGATCCAAGCTCAGTCTCTAACCTCAAACTCCATTTTGTACCTCCCAGCAGCTCCTTCTCTTGTTTACTTCTGTTGTTTTCAGTCACTCACTCATTCATCTTTGCTTTCTCTCTTTCCCATGCCTTCCAAGTCCTACCTAGTTTATCTACTTATTGCTCTATCCCCACTGCCTTTGACCAGATTCAGCCCTCCATTTTCAATGGTTTGTACAATCTTAACATTAATCTCTAACTAGTCTCTTGACTTTGAGTCTTTCTCATATCTGACCTATACTATATACTACTGTCAGATTACTATTCCTAGTTGGCTCTAATAACATTAATATCTACTCAAAATTTTCAACTTAACTAGCAAATGACTCATGAAAACTTTAGGTAGGCAGTGTCTTTAAACTTGACTTTACAAATTCATTTCTTATTGTTCCTCCTATACATGAGTATTCTCAAACCAAACAGATTATGATTTGTCTAGGATTCTACTTTTGTGCCTCTGTTCACCTGGTTCCTCTATCTGGAACATTTTTTTTTCTTTCTTTTTTTGTTTTTTTGCACATAACAAATCTGTACATTTTTAAAGATCAACTTTAAATGCCACCTCCTTCACAAGGTTTTTTTAGAGTTCAAGCCTGGAGAAATCTCATCCCATCACAAACCCAAATCTCTGAATTTAAATGACACTTGTACCTCCCTTTTGGCAACTAATCATATCTGTACATTCTCTTTTTCCTAAAGAGTAGGTCATGTTGGGAACCAGCAGTTAGCGTAATGGCTATGTCACTGGACTCCCACGTAGTCGACCACGGTTCGCGTCCCGGACCCGGTGGCTTAAAACTCACGCCGGGCGCGTGTGCGTGCGTGCCCAAGATCCCGAGAGGAGAATGGAGGAGAAGGGATTGCGGCGTGACCATTCCCCCTGGCGGGTGATTTCTCGCTTTCTGTCTCTATGTCTCTCTCTGTCTGTCTGGCGAGCACACGTGCCCTACAGTGAAAATCTCTCAAAAAAAAAAAAAAAAAAAAAGAGTAGGTCATGTTATCTTTATATCTCCCTCAATGTCTTTAACTGGGAAACTGTTAATGTGTGCTCAAGTTGGACACTTAAGAAATGTTTGGGAAACTGAATGAATGCATTTCTAATAATCAATATATAGATGAGTGTATTGTTGCCTAATTCAGGTAAATATTACGGCACAAAAGTTGAATCAATCTGAACTATTTGTTATGAAAAATGGTAACTTTCAAAACTAAAATAATCTTTATAGTTATCTAATATTATTACATATATATATTTTTTTTCTTCTCAAAGTACCTAAATGAACCAAACTATGAGACACTGATTGCCATTCAAATTGGAATAATGGAGCAAACCATTGCTGTTTTAGATAAGGTATGTCTCAAAGATATTGATCATTATGATTCCAACAGCTGTGAATCATCTGAGCAAAGTAATTGTGTATCAAATTACAAATTCAAACAGAACCTAACAAAATCTTGGTCACTTATTGGTGTTTATGAGATAATTGGAGGTCCTTGAACAGTATCTCTTTGCAGCCATAACCAGTGAGATATTAGGTCATCGGGAAGCATTTCTTTGAATATTAGAATTAATCCCTTTGGACATATCTGAGTTTAAGTGGGTTTCCTATTCATGTTATGGTATGACTTATGCATTACAAGTGTTGACAATGTTTCCTTGGCATTGTAAAGGCTTTGTTTTATCATAACATAATAACAAATGCTCAGTTTAATTACATAGGATGCATAAGATGAAAACAAAGTATCTAGCTTTTTAAAATACTGTCTCATTTTTAAATACAAATTTGTTCTAAAATGTGGGTTAACATATCATTCTATCTTTCAATAACCTGAGTACCTACTATAAGCCAGGCACTAAGGTATGGTGAGAAGATGTTACCTTAAAAAATATGATGTATTTAAAATATAAGAATAATGCCTTTATCAAATAAATTACATTTAAAACAATGTTTCTTCTGTGGGGTGTCATGGGAACAAAAATTTCAGACCCACAAAAAGAATGTGGAAAACTGCAAAAAACTACTAAAAAAACTGAAGAAGTTCAGCAATCAAAAAGATGTAGCAAATTATACTCTAAGCTGCAATCTACGAGAAGAGTTGGTAGCTGTCTCAGAGAGAAAGGACATCTGTAATGCAGTGGGTAAGTTTTTTTCCTTTAATCAATTGTAGGTTCCAATAAAAAGTAATCACCCTTGAGACCAAAAGGTGACATCGTGGTTAAGGCACTGGATCCCACATAACAGACTACAGTTCAAATTCCAGGCCCAGCGGCTTGGAAATAACACTGAGCATGTGTGTGTTCATGCCCAAAAATCCCAAGAGTAAAATAGAGGAGAAGGGATTCCAGTGTGGCCATCCTCCCTGGCAGGGGAGTAGGGGAGGTGGTTATTTCTCACTTTCCTTCTCTCTCTTTCCAGTGAGCACACTTGCCCTACCGCAAAAACCTAAAAGAAAAAAAAAGTAATCAGTATCCCCAAAAACTGTACAATGGCTATAAAACTACCAGCATTTCTTCTGCACATTTGATTAAGTGATTCTATGTACTGCTCCTATATTTCAAAGTATTGATAATAATCCAGCAAATTCCTTTCTTTTTCATTTCTGGGATAGGGTCTACACTGACTTGTGAAAAAATTGTCAAAGAACGATATGAAAACATGATGCAACAACAGAAATTAACAAATATTTCAAAAGAACAAGCTGAACAGATTTCAATACTACAAGCTGAAGTTGAAAGATTAAGGATGAAGACATTTCCTGCGCTTGTTCAAATGTAAAACTACAGGCAGGAAACACAAAGCCAAATTAATCATTTTTAAAATAATTTCATTTGGGTTAAACGATTTCTTTTGCTTTCATTTGGGAAATTTAAGTAGTCTCCTCTTAGTTGTATGTTTTAAATAGCGTGGTGCCTACTATAAGCCAGGCACTAAGGTATGAAGAGAAGCTGTTACATTAAAAAATATGATGTATTTAAAATATAAGAATAATGCCTTTATCAAATAAATTACATTTAAAACAATGTTTCTTCTGTGGGGTGTCATGGGAACAAAAATTTCAGACCCACAAAAAGAATGTGGAAAACTGCAAAAAACTACTAAAAAAACTGAAGAAGTTCAGCAATCAAAAAGATGTAGCAAATTATACTCTAAGCTGCAATCTACGAGAAGAGTTGGTAGCTGTCTCAGAGAGAAAGGACATCTGTAATGCAGTGGGTAAGTTTTTTTCCTTTAATCAATTGTAGGTTCCAATAAAAAGTAATCACCCTTGAGACCAAAAGGTGACATCGTGGTTAAGGCACTGGATCCCACATAACAGACTACAGTTCAAATTCCAGGCCCAGCGGCTTGGAAATAACACTGAGCATGTGTGTGTTCATGCCCAAAAATCCCAAGAGTAAAATAGAGGAGAAGGGATTCCAGTGTGGCCATCCTCCCTGGCAGGGGAGTAGGGGAGGTGGTTATTTCTCACTTTCCTTCTCTCTCTTTCCAGTGAGCACACTTGCCCTACCGCAAAAACCTAAAAGAAAAAAAAAGTAATCAGTATCCCCAAAAACTGTACAATGGCTATAAAACTACCAGCATTTCTTCTGCACATTTGATTAAGTGATTCTATGTACTGCTCCTATATTTCAAAGTATTGATAATAATCCAGCAAATTCCTTTCTTTTTCATTTCTGGGATAGGGTCTACACTGACTTGTGAAAAAATTGTCAAAGAACGATATGAAAACATGATGCAACAACAGAAATTAACAAATATTTCAAAAGAACAAGCTGAACAGATTTCAATACTACAAGCTGAAGTTGAAAGATTAAGGATGAAGACATTTCCTGCGCTTGTTCAAATGTAAAACTACAGGCAGGAAACACAAAGCCAAATTAATCATTTTTAAAATAATTTCATTTGGGTTAAACGATTTCTTTTGCTTTCATTTGGGAAATTTAAGTAGTCTCCTCTTAGTTGTATGTTTTAAATAGCGTGGTGCTTCATTTTAGCCTTAATCAGTATTAAAATTGCTCTCCTGCATAAATAAATGTGCAAAATGCTATGGACTGTTTTCATTCACAATGAACAAAATTTTAAGCCAGAAGGAAAGTATCCAAAACCTATTATATTCATTTCACCTTAACTGAATCAATCATATTTATGTAGTGATAATATAGGAGATCTTAAGGACAAAAGAAATTATCAGAATATTTGACAATTTATTGTTCCACCAATGAGAATAAAGTAATATGTTTCTTTTCTCTAAGCTTAAATCATTTGTAAATTACAATATATTTTGAGGCTGGCAGGTTGCGAGGTGGTTAGAGCACTGGACTCCCACATGGCTGACCCCAGTTCGAGTCCTGGACCTGGTGGCTTGCTTTCTCACTTTCCTTTTCTCTCTGTCTTGCTCCGGTCAAATTAAAAAAATAATAACAAATAAAATGAAATAAATAAATGTTTTTTTAAAATTACAACATATTGGGGCCGGCAGGTGGTATGGTGGTTAAGGGCACTGGACTCCCACATGGCCAACCATGGTTTAAGTCCCAGACCTGGTGGCTTGCTTTCTCACTTTCTTTCTCTCTCTCTCTCTGGTCAAATTAAAATGTAAATAAATAAATAAAAATTTTAAAATGACAACATACTTTGAAAACATAATCTACATTTTTTATTAATTGTAACAGAACTCAATTTTGTGCCTTACCCAACAGGGTTAGCAAACAGAAAACAAGTCTTTTCTTATTTCTATGAAATAGTTAATCACTTCACTCATGTAGATGATTATAATTATATAATGCGAAGACTGGGCCCAGTGGATGACAATGGTTATGTTGCTGGATTCCCACATAGTCAACTACAGTTTGAATCCCAGACCTGGCAGCTTAAAACTCACACTGTGCACTTGTGCGTGTGTGCTCAAAATCCTGACAGGATAACATAGAAGTGATTAGGGCATGGCCATTTCCCCTGGGGGGTGATTTCTCGCTTTTTATTCCTCTGTCTCTCTTTGTTTCTCCAGCAAGCCAAAATCTCTCTCTCAGAAAAAAAGATGGCTAACTGGCCAGGGAACTTCTTCAACTTTTTACAGCCTGCAAACTGATGAATTCAAGGTTATATCAATGAGATCATTGACCACAATCTCCAAGTGGTATTGATGCCTTACTGTCCCATAATTCATGAACTAGATATTAAGTTTAATCCACAATATCATATCCAATATACACTGGTACAGGTAAAGCAAGAGAGCTATTATCAAATCTTCTATTCAGGAAAACGTCCTCAGTAGAAAGTGACCAGTGCTGGGTAGGGATGGTAAGAGAAATAACAGGACTAACATTACTTTGACAACACCTGAAGCAGTAAGTTTGGCTGATTCAGCACAGAAATGCCTATTGGTAACATCTACATCCAGAGTTCTTCAAGATTATCCCTGTAACAGGAATTAGGGGGGAAGGGGGAATAAAACCAACAGCGACAGGAGGATGTTGTGCAATGGGTGTAAATACTTTATGAGATGAGACTACCAGAAGTTCTCCATTCTGTTGGTTCAAGTCAACCATGAATATACTAGACTTAATTTTCTTTCTTGGGGGGATAGAGGGTGCAAATTCCATTTCACCTAAATTATTAATAATTACCTAGATACTTCATTTGCTAATAGTCAAAGCTACAGACTTCATTGGCTATTATTATTCCCAGGTCACAACAAAAATAGGTCAAACCTGTGTTTCTATTTCTTAGTCATCAACCCTGGCTGACTCTGTCAATGCTCCTTACTTGACTGCCCTGGCTCTGAGGTATGGATGGAGCAGGGCTTAGCAAGAGCCTCTGCCCTCAAGTGCTATTCCAAAAACTTTTCTCACAGGAGGTGACTTTTGGTTTGAGTGACTGGCAGATGCTTTGGGAGAGCACACAGATCATGCACTACTGTTTACAGTACAGACTACTCTCAGCTTCTGAACTGACAGCAATTGCATTCACATTTTAAAATTTTTGTTGTTGGGACCAGCAAATGGTGTACTGGTTACATCACTGGACTCCCACGTAGTTGATCACAGTTCAAGTCCCGGACCTGGCAACTTAAAATTCATGCCGGCAGCATGTATTTACATGCCCAAAATCTCAAGAGGAGAAGGGATTGCAGCATGGCTAATCCCTCTGGGGGGTGATGTCTCGCTCTTTGTCTCTCTGTTTCTCCAGGAGTTACACGTGCCCTATAGCAAAAATCTCAAAAAAAAATTTGTGTTGTTTTTAGGTGAGCTCACAAGAGAGCGAGAGAGAGAGAGAAAGCATTCCCCCAATGGAGTGTGGTCATGCTGCAAGCCTTTATCCTCCATTTATTCTTCTCGTCAGGACCTTAGGCATGCACATACACACACACATACATGCACGCCTGGAGTGTTTTTTCAAGATGCTGGGGCCAGAAATCGAGTCAGTAAGCCACATGGATTCTAGCTCCTCTGATCAACATGCTACTTGCCAGTCCTAAAATATTATCTATATTATCAGCTAGTAGTATCATTAATTGGGTCAAATATAGCATGTCTTTAAGCATGGGAGTTAATAATATGGATTCCACTGCTGGGTTGTCTAGGTTCAAATCCTGGTTCTGTCACTTAAGTTTAAAATAACCACTTAGAGGTTTGAGGTTTATTTGTTTTCTTTTAGATATTTTGCCATAGGGCTTATGCACTCATCAGAGAGAAAGAGATACAAAAGCAAAATGAGAAATCACCCCCCTAGAGGGGACAGCCCCACCACAATCTCTTCTCTTCCATTCTCTTCTAGGGACTTTGGGCACACACACCCAGTGTGCTTTGCAGGTCACCAGGCCCAGGAGTTGGCCTGGTGGGAGCTGGCCATGTGGAATCCAGCATCTTAACCAACACACCACCTGCTGGCCCAATAACCAATTAGTTTTTAAATAACTACTTAATCTTAACCACACTTATCTTTAAAACTGGGATGTTGATTATTATAATACTCAAGTTAATATACATCTAAAATTGGCACAAGCAAATACTACAGTGTGAGCTCCAATTTTTATAAATAAAAATATGGTATGCAGTGGTTTTTAATAAATGCATTAAACGGAGGTGAATTAAACAGAAATGATAAAAAGGGAAGACTCCTCTTATCTCAAACTATCCTATAACCTCCATTAATCCATGACCAACCTCCTGTTTTTGGAGTACCTACTATGCTGTCAGAACTTTTAGCTAATGCCTTGGAAATCCCCATTACTATGTTCTCAGCTCTCCCAGAACCAGTGTCCCACTGATGCTGTAGTTTCCACGAGTAAACATATAAGGGTTACTCCCTGGGATAGGCACGTTAGCAACAGGAAGCTGCAGCCTCTGAGATTTAGATATGTACAAAACGCCTACCTAGCAGAATGCCAGCACCACTGCCAGGGGCAACACTATGCCACATTTTTTCTTCTGAGCTCAATTTCAAATTCTTGGGGACTAAGCCAGCTTGGAACTTATCTCCACAAATGGCCAGGATAATAGCTACAATTGTGTAACTTGGCAGCACAAACTCATTCATATGGCATGGGTTTCTGGCTGAGGAGTCACTGTGAACTGAAGACACTAAATCTGTTTCACAGATGAAGCTAGAAAAGTAGATGAATAGACTTTGTATGCCATGACACTCTGAAGTAGTAGATGAAGATACGTAGTTTTGTAAGAAACATATGGTCATATCACTAAAGGTGGAATATGAGAAACAAACTTGACAATCCCGAAAGATATAACTTCAGACATTATCAGTTTAATTGCCTGCTAGATCATCAGATGGAAACATGTGGTAAATGAATGGAAACATGGTTCATAAACTCAGAGAGGCAAGCACATTTTAGACCAGTTTAGGTTTAGACATTCACCAGATTGGACGATTTTTAACATTTAAAATAAAACTTTTCAACATGAAAAACAAAGAGATATATTAAAACCGGTTTTCAGAATTGCCCAAATTACTTTTTAAACACAGTTCAATTTTTGTTACATTTCTTTAAACATCAAGGTTTTTTTGGCAAATCTATCCAAAATATTGTTTCCGTTTAGAACTGAGTTTGTGTAAGTGTGCCCTAAAATCATGTCCATCAGGTTACCTTCCTTTAAGCACTAATAGGTATCTTCCCTCTAAAATGTGTATCTCTTAAGTTGTCAATCTTAAAGATATCCTGGAGAAAAACTTATGAATTAAACACTTAAAAATTCTTCTTCACTTCTGTTATAGTGTAGCAATTTATCATCTAACCCATAATGGTCTATCAGTTGAGTCAGGCTTAGTTTCTTGTTCTCTTCAGACATAGCTGACTGCAACTCATAAAGCAACAGCTGGCTACAGCTTCTCCACTTCTTTATTAACAACTGTAATTGAGACAGGTCATTCTGAAACAGAAAAAGGAAAAAATACATACATGTCAATAACTAAGTATAGTTAGGTTATTTTAAAACTTACTTTTTGAAAGTCGTTTTCCTTTTTCTTTCTAATTGCCAAAGAGCACATGAGCTCTCCAGGGCCAGAGAGAGAACGAGAGTAGAGAAATCACCCCCCAATAGCACATGCTCACTCCACAATCTCTTCTTCCCCATTTCTCTATCCTATCAGGATACTGAACATGTACACACACTCATCTGGTATGTTTTTCAAGCCACTGTGCTGGGAATCAAACTGTGGTCAGCTGGAGCCAGCAGGCAGTGTGATGGGTAAGGTGCTAGACTCCACATGGCCAACTGTGGTTGAAGTCCCGGACCTGGAAGCTTGCTTTCTCACTTTCTGTCTCTCTCTATATAGTAAAACTTAAAAATAATTTTAAAAAATCTTTAATTTTTTTTTTTTAAATCTGTGGTCAGCCATGTGGGATCTGGCTCCTGTAACCACTAGGCCATGGGGATGGTCCAATGAAAGTTGTTATATAAGCTGATGCACAGGTTAAAGGCTAAAATACCTGGCAGGTTAAAGGCTAACATACTTGGGGAAAAATGGGACTTCTACCTAGGGAAAAGTGGGATGATTATACATAGAATGGTTATAATGCTACTCAACTTGAGTTTTATGGCTATCTTGTTTGATCCATGTCCTAGGAGAAAAAAAATCAGATCACTAAATAGGATAAAACTACGTACAGAAACAATATGGATTAAAAAATTTTTTCCAGTTACAACTATACTTTAAAAAAAATAAATGACACTGTACTGTACCTTCCATTTGGTTTTGTGAACCTAAAACTGCTCTAAAAAATAACAATATTGGGACCAGCAGTTAGCGTAATGGCTATGTCACTGGACTCTCAGGTAGTCGATCGCGATTCGCATCCCGGACCCGGTGGCTTAAAACTCACGCCGGGCGCATGTGCGTGCGTGCCCAAGATCCCAAGAGGAGAATGGAGGAGAAGGGATTGTGGTGTGGCCATCCCCCCTGGGAGTGATTTCTCTCTGTCTCTCTGTCTCTGTCTGGTGAGCGCACGCGCCCTATAGCAAAAAACTCTCCAAAAAAAAAAAAAAAAAGACAATATTGAGTCAGCCCAAATGTGGGATAGTAATGTGCTGCTCAAAAACAGCTGGATCTTTCATAGCAAATAAGGTTCAAATTCCCAGCCTGATGAGCCTGATACATGTTGGAGACACACCAAAGTGCCCAAGATCCAATGGGCTAAAAATACTTTTCTGCAGGCTAGAGGGTAGCATAGTGGTTAAGGTAGCTGGATCCCACAGTGCCAATAAGCATGGTTCAAGTTCCAGAACCAGTGACTTGAAAAACACACCAGGAGTGTGTAACCCAAAATCTTGTGCAGTGAATGAAAGAAAGAGATCGTGATACAGCCATTCCCCTTGGGTGTGTGTGTGGTGGAGTGCTTTCTCACTTTTCCCCTCCCTCTCTCTCATGTACTCCATAGCACAACTGAAGAAAAAAAAAAAAAAAACACTTTCTATTGCATTCTGTGGCCCATTTTAAATTTTACTCACTCATTGTCAGCTGTCACTTTATTCCCACTATACTTGCATATCACATTTGAAACCTGTAATATTGTTATGACCGGAAACTAGAGATAAAAGCTTCAACTGAACCATCAAATGAGAGCTGGGGCTTTGAAAATTTAATATGGGGGACTAGCAGTTAGCGTAATGGCTATGTCACTGGACTCCCATGTAGTCTACCTTGGTTAGAGTCCTGGACCCGGTGGCTTAAACAGCTTAAACTCACGCCGGGCATGTGTGAATGCGTGCCCAAGATCCCGAAGGAGAAAGGAGGAGAAGGGATTGTGGCGTGGCCATCAACCCCCCCCCCCCGGGAGTGGGGGAGAGGGTGATTGCTCACTTTCTGTCTCTCTGTCACTGTCACTCCAGTGAGAACACGTGCCCTACAGCAAAAAAATCTCTCCTGAAAAAAAAAAATTATTACGCAGTGATTCTGAAATTCTCACCTTTGATCTGTACATTTTGACTAGTTTTAGTCTCCGAAGAAGGTCTTCTTTCTCCTGAATCTGCTTCACCAATTTTGCTTTTTCTTCATCTAATGCTTGTTTAGAACAACTCTCCTTCAAAATATTATTTTGGAATGCATCTGTATCAAGTGATTTTGATTCACATGTACTGATAATCTTGAAGGCATTTTTCAAATGTGCATTTTCTTCAAATTCACTATCTATGTGTTTAAAACTTTCTTGAAATTCCAAACAATTTTCTTCCATTGAAGATGCTGGTTTCTCTGAAAAGGTCTGACCACTTTCTTCATTCTCTACTTTAAGACGCTTTACCACACTGTAGTGGGAATTAAATGAAGACCTTGTTTTCCTTAATTTTTCTCTGAGTGTGGCACTCATAGGCTGAAAAGGGCACAAAACATTAACATTGTTAATCTAAAAATATTCTTGATAAAAATAAATCTACTATCTACAAATAAAGGCCTTACATTTGTATAGTATACACCACTAGATGGCTTTCTGTAACCATCTAAGGTAACAACCACAAAATGTCTTTAATTTCAGGAAGTTCTATTCAATTCATTATACTCAACTTCAGCAAGGTCAACAGCCTTCTAAAGGTGTTAAGACACTTATCCCTATCATTATTTGTTCGCTACTAGCACATGCTTATGCTACTAGCACTACACTAGGTGATTCAGAGTTAAAAGGAAAAGACCTAGATTCTAGATACTACCAAAGACCTTCATAATATTGCACCAACTCAAATTTCCTCTATTTGGAGTGTCATAATAACTGAAACTAATTGATTCAGGATGAAAATCTGGCATGGAGGACAGGGCAATCATGTTATTTTAGGAGAAAACCTAAAATCACTACTTAACCATGTATCTACGTATTAACGTACACATGTAAACTAGCAATCTTCAGTAGGCTAAAAACCATCACTGCTGTAATAGTTACAAACAGTAAATGTTAACAAGCAATGTTCAGTAGGCTTAAAACTACCACTTCCATAGTAAGTTAGAAACATAGTAAATTCACGAAAGGGCTAAGATTTTCATACTTGTTTTCGTGAACTATTTGTATGGGGGGAGGGTGGATCCACACAGGCCTGTGGCGTGCCAGGTAAAATCACAGGTGGGTCTGAAGGACTTTCCATCTTGAAAATGAAATCTTAATTTACCTCTAAAAAATAAAAAGTGATTATAAGATGCGAATTAAATGAATCACCCTTTATACACCCTTCAGTAATGGTATACACAACATCCACAAGCCAGCAATTTATTCTAACTTCTTGCTCTTTTTGCAGTTTTCCATTTACCTTCCCGCCTAAGTACTATCAGTTTTCTCATGGCAAATTCACTGGCTAGTACCTCACGGAAACAAAACTCTTATGAGGGAAGAGGAGCATAACTTTAGATAGACACTTTCATTTCATTGTGGAGCTTTACAACCAAAGGTGATCTGGCCGAAATCTTGACTCAACAAACATAATCAGACCTGACTTTCAGCCACCCAGAAGCTTCAGGTGTGTACTAGAACCCGTTACCCGCGGGGCCTGGGCATAAGAAAAACGTGTGGAGGTAAGGTGACGCCAGGGTGCACCGTTCTATCACAGACTGAGCGAACAGAAACAGAAAAGGAGGGTCGACTGAAACCATGGCCTCCAAACAAAGGCATCAACTTTAGCGGGACGAAAGCAGAGCGAGGCGTCCCCCGTTCCCTCCCGGGGCAGAAAGCCCATGAGCTCTCCAGAGCCCCCCGGCCTTAAGTGCGGTCGAGTTTCCCCGGCTGCGGGAAGGGTGCTCTACACCCCACAGCAGACCCTACAAAGTGCCCCTCAGACAGTCACTCGAGATGGGAACGCTACCTCCCTCCGCCATGCCCACAGGGTGCCGAAGGCGCGCGCAGCGACGGCCGTAAACCAACCCGGCCCGGGGGCGGGACCGCGAGGGAGGCGGAAGAGACACGTGATTGGCCAGATTGACGCGCGCGGCTCTGCAGCGCCCTGCGCCTTGGAGCCCGCCGGACTGCGCGCGCACAGCCGCGAGCCTCCGCCAGGGGGCGAGGTGGGGCTACGCGGGAGG